CACAGCCGTATCGAGGGTACGGCCGACGAGGTCCTCGACCAGACCATGGACGTCGCGGTCACGCTGGCGCAGGGCTGCCTTGACCTCGGCCAGCGAGTTTCGCCCAAGTCCATCCTGATGATGACGAGGCCCAAGGACGAGAAGGCGGTGCTGTCCTACGTGTACCAGGAAACTGGCATCCGTGTGCAGAGGGCTTCCACGGCGAAGGACCTTGGCATCGACTGCACCATGGGCACCAGGCGTAGCAATAAGACGGCCAGGACGCGGATGTCGGCAGCGAGGGCGAGGGCTACGCGAACAAGTTTATTCCGCCGACTGGGGCGCGGCAACAAGAGGACCAAGGGCGTCATGCTGCACAACACCAACATCAGGGCGAAGTACCAGTTCGCCGACCCGATCATCGGAGTGCCCCCATTCGACGACAACGCGGCGACGGGCCCAGGCAGCGGACCTCACAGGCCACACCGTGGGCGGGCGCTGCACCTCCACCACCCTGCTGCTGCACTACCAGGACGACGAGCCCAAGATGGCGGCCTTGGCGCAGCAGGTTAAGGAGTGGTTCCACTTTTGGGCGCAACGCCCGAGGCGGCGAGACCGCGTTCGACTTGGATGGCGTGCGGTGCTCAAGAGGCTCCTGAACATGCGACCTCGTGCTCGGTGGAAGTGCGTCACGGGGCCCATGGGCGCGATCATCCTGGCCCTGCGCGACATCGGCTGGATACCGCGGGCGCCCGACGTCTGGATCGATGACGAGAGCTCCGGGTGGCGGCACCTTGGCAACGACGACGACAGCGTGCAGGACCTCGTGAAGGCGATCAAGAGCACCGTGCTGCGCCAGCTGTGGCGCCAGGCTGGTGACCACCCCCTCGGAGCGGGCCTCGGCGGCGGCGGCGACCTCCACATGCTGAGAGTCAACCTGAGGAGGATGCGCCGCCATGAGCGCCACAAGGAGGCAGGCGCCCTGGAGGCGGCAGCGCTGGCTGGAATCTGGACGGGAGCGAGGGCCCTAAAGGCCAGGCTGCATGTGCTCCGACGACTGTGAGCGCTGTGGCGAGGGCAAGGACACCATCGAGCACAGGCTGTACTTCTGCTCGGCCACCTGCGAGATGGAGGACCCTTGGATCGTGCGCACTGAGGACCTCCGACAGCGTGCTCTAAGTGATCTGTCGGAAAATCGCCACGTCGCTTTCTGGACCAGGGGGGTCGTTCCCCCCGAATGGGTAGCCGTGCCGCCGCCGCCCGCCTGGAACTCAGGAGAGGGGCTGGGCGTCTGGGCAGTCGGCACCTCCCCCCCGATCCTCGACCCGTCCTCGAGCGACGTCCTCCCCTCCTCCTCTGCTGCCCTCACGTATGAAGGACCTTTCAACGTAGGAGCTGGTGAATACCCCGTCCGCGCACGTCTGGCGTTCCTGGACGGGTCGGCCACTTCCAGCGATGCCCGGGTCTGCCGTGTGGGTTGGGGTGTTCACTTTGTGGGGGAGTGGGCGGAGCTGGAAGAGGGCGGGGGCGAGCCTTCTGGTTTTTTCGGCACCGTAGACGGGGACCAGACGGTCCCCGTCGCTGAGCTGGCTGCCCTCTGGAGGGCGCTGCAGCTTTCCACCGGGCCCCAGGACCTTTTCACCGATTGCCAGCTGGTTTTCGACGGCTGGGTCCAAGGGAAAGCCCTGAATCCCAGGGGAGGCCACGCCAAATGGTGGGCCCGAATTCGCTCGGCCCTCGAGCGCCGAGGGGGCCAGAATGTCCGCCTTTTCACAATCTTCTCGCACTTGGATGTTGATTCCCACGTGCGCTCAGGCCAGGACCCGCGTAGCTCCCGTGGAACGAGCTCGCGGATGCGCTCGCCCAGCGGGGGGCGGAGTTTGTTGCCACCCCAATTCGGTCCCACGTCAAGGCCCTACAGGTGGCCGACGCACGAGCGACCCTCGTGCACCAGCGAATCGGCGCGGTCCTGGCCCCGATCTGTGGGGAGGTCGATCGTGGGGCTCGCTCGGCTCGGCTCGGCGTTGCGGACGGTTCGGTCGGTTCCGTTTCGGGCCTGGGGCGGATCGGGGAGCTCGAGGCCCGTTCGGGGCACAGCTTGTCTCGCCTGAGCTCTGGTAGGTGGGCCTGCAGTGAATGCCGACAAGCCCCAGGGCGCCTTTCCCTGGCTGACTGGCTCCAGAGTGGGGCGTGTCGCGGGGACGTCTGTAAGAGGGGTCTGAGCGAGCAAGGCCACCACGTCTATGTCCCCCCCCACCTGTATCGGCGAGTTGAAGGTCGGTGCCCGCAGTGTGCACCCCTCTCATTCCATAGCTATGCAGAATGGCCTGGCCTGGTGCTGGAGGTGTGCCAGGTACGCCCCCATCGTTGCTGGAGGGGGGCGGCTCTGCAAGTTGGCCCACGAGTGCCCCCAGGAGCGCCCCCCCTCTGGCCAAACGGTGATCAATCGTCTCCGTCGTGGCCTCACCCCGAAAGCGGGGATGCAATGGCCCATACCCCCAAGTGGGGGTGGCGGATCGGCTCCCTTGCCTGTGGTCGGCAGCTCTGCCAAAGATTTCGGGAGGCGGACGGACGGGAGAGTCGGCAGCTCGCTCAAGGCCCCCCCCCCGTCGACGACGACCATAACCTGTTTACATATTACCCGTAATCTGCACGCGGGGGGGCGTAGCACTGCTCCGACCCCCTCTTGTTCGATCCTCCTCCTCCTCCTCCTCCTCCTCCTCCTCCTCCTCCTCCTCCTCCTCCTCCTCCTCCCCCTCCTCCTCCTCCTCCTCCTGCTCCTCCTCCTCTTCCTCTTCCTCCTCCTCCGCCCCTCCTTCTCCCCCTCCTCCTCCTCCTCCCCTCCTCCTCCTCCTCCTCCTCCTCCTCCTCCTCCTCCTCCTCCTCCTCCTCCTCCTCCTCCCTCCTCCTCCCTCCTCCTCCTCCTCCTCCTCCTCCTCCTCCTCCTCCCTCCTCCTCCTCCCTCGCCCCTCCTCCTCCTCCTCCTCCTCCTCCTCCTCCTCCTCCTCCTCCTCCTCGACCTTCTCCAGGCTGCTGGAGCTCCGTGGGTTCGTGTCCCTGAGCGTTTCCCTGGCCCCTTTATGGGGCCACCGTCGGCTGTTGGGCCTAAATGGGCTCAGCACCCGCCCGGCAGCAGAGGCTTGACCTCTCCTTCGTGGACAGCCGTTTCGTTCCGTTCCTCCGCCTCCTCACCCTGCCTCCAGGGACCTTTTCTAGGCTGCTGGAGCTCCGTGGGAGCAGCGTGGCCCCTCCCGTCGCCCAGGCCGGGGTGCAGGCGGAGGACGGGGAAAGGCTAGATGATTCGATTTTCTGCAAGCGCTGTGGAGCCTCGGTGCATCAGCATGCGCGAGGGGGGCTCCTCCAGGTTTGTAAAGGTTCCGGGCACGCGGGTCATAAGGCTCAGAGGTCGAGGCTCAGGCGAGGTCTGTTCCCAAGCCACAACCTGGGCAAGGCCACTGTGGGCAGCCCGATCGGACCTCGGGACGCTATCAAAGCTGGTTGGGGTCCTCTGATTGGTTGCTCGGGGGTTGGGGGGGGTGGAGAGACGGTCCCTAACAGCGAAACAGAGAAAGGGTCTGCGTCGCCAGAGGCTGTCCCGCCGTCGACCCCTACCATGGTGGCGATCCCTTCGTTCACCATCCATCAGATATCCAAACTTCACGGCTTCGAGGCACCCGAGGCGCTAGTCGGTGGGGAAAGCAATCAGCGTCGCCGGGAAGGCGACTCTCGCGAATGGGATGAGGACGATAGCATAGACTAACTTCCTCGTCCAGGCCAGGTGCCACGAGGTGTAGACCCACCCCGCATCATCAGTACCCTCAGTGCCCTCCGTGGTGTGCCTGATTATCCGAATCATGGCCGGGTAAGGGACCTCGCGAAGGATTGCAGCCATGCCTCCACAAGTGCTGGAGCAAGTTGCGCCGGAGGCGGCGATGTGCGTGGCGATGTGCGTCAAGCAGGGACCCTGGTACGCGATCAGAGCGAGGCGGCTCTCCCTCGCAGTCGCCTTGCTGGGCCCCCTTGTGAGGTGGATCGCCTCTGCAGTCCAAATTATCCTGACGAAAGACCCAGCCATGATTAAGCAGTCGTGGATACCGCGTTGTGGGTCCACCGTTCGACGGGCCCCCCTATGGGACCACGAAGCGTGGATGCAATGGGCGGCCCGCAGCGGGAAGAGGAACTGAACGTGCGGTGGGCGGGGAGGGCGCATGTGGACGCGGCCACTGGGGCCTTCATTGGAGCTCCCTTTGGGGCCACGAATCGTGTGAAGAGTGTGCCGAAATGGACGTGCGGCGGGCAGGGAGCAGCACCTGGGCGCGGCCATTGGGGCCTTGGGTGGAGCTCCCTATGGGGCCACGAAGCGTGTGAGGGGTGTGCCGAAATGGGCATGCGGTGGGCGGGAAGGGCGCATGCGGACGTGGCCACTGGGGCATTCGGTGGAGATCCTTACGAGGCCACGAACCGTGTGAGGGGTGTATCGAAATGGGCATGCGGTGGCCACGAACCGTGTGAGGATGTGCCAAAGTGGGCGGGGGGCCGCATGCGGACGCGGCCACTGGGGCCTTCGGTGGAGCTCTCTATGGGGCAACGCATCGTGTGAGGGGTGTGCTGAAACGGGCGGGGAGGGCGCATGCGGACGCGGCAATTGGGGCCTTCGGTGGAGCTCCCTATGGGGCCACGAACCTCGTGAGGGGTGTGCCGAAATGTCCGTGGGGACGCATGCGGACGCGGCCACTGGGGCCTTCGGTGGAGCTTCCTATGGCGCCACGAAGCGTGTGAGTGCCGAAATGGCTGTGGGTACGCATGCGGACGCGGCCACTGGAGCCTTCGGTGGAGCTACCTAAGGGGCCACGAACCGTGTGAGGGGTGTGCCAAAGTGAGGGGGGTGACGGGAGGAGGGAGGAGGGATGGGAGCGAGGAGGGAGGAGGGGGAGGAGGAGGAGGAGAGGAGAGGAACGCGGGGCCGGTCTCTTCGAAACGAGGATCCAACATCACAGGATGATTGGGAAAAAGTCCTGGAGGGCCCTGCTCCTGAACGGGATGGGGTTCACCCTCTCCCTGAACGTCGCGGGCGTTTTCATCATGGGGCGAGCCGTCACGGAGGCCTGCCACGCGCTGGAGAAGTCGCGGGAATTGGCGATGAAGTCGCTTCAGGACGCCTGCTGTCCTATCTCGGAGGAGGGCGTCGCCAGCAAATCGCGACGGCGTCGGGCAAGAATCGAGACGGCAGCAAATCGGCCTCTGGAGGCTGACTCCCCGCCTCAGGACCGTCAAACAATTGCGAAGGGTGAACAACCGACCCGTGGGAGGTGGTCGATACTGCATCCCGGGGGCCGACATCACGAATAACTGCAAAGTCTGACGAGGGCCAGTCGGGATAGCGGCGGCCCTCCCTTGCATTTTTCGCTTTTTGGGGGGCCCTCCTGGAGTCTTCTCGTCGCCATGCCTGGATTCGCATTGAAAGGCGGGTCAGGGTGGACCCTGGAAAGGGGTCTGGGACCGACTCTGAACGGGCGTGGGCCAGGCGGGAGAGCCGCTGTCGTCTCACCCCCTCCTCCCGTCCTCGACTCGACTCGTCGATTTTCGGCGGGCTCGGCCGATCCTCGGCTCAGTTCGGGAGAAAGACATTCGGCATAAGGCACGAACACAACCTTCGTGCCTTCCAGGCGGGGGGTTCTGCTCCTCCTGCGAGGAGGAGGAGGAAGAGGAGGAGAAGGAGGAGGAGGAGGAGGAGGAGGAGGTCCGCGCAGGTTTCTGCGATCGGCGGCAGGCCTAGGACGAGAAGGAGGAAGGGTCGCCGAAGCCCTTCGGAGAAACGTGTGCAGCGGCGACCTATAGGAGGGCGTGGCCGGCCACGAGCGCCGGCGACCCCCGCAGCCTGGCCCAGCGCAGGCTCTGCTGGGCCTGCCGCCGATTTCAGAAACCTGTGCGGACCTCCTCCTCCTCCTCCTCCTCCCCTCTCCTCCTCCTCCTCCTCCTCCTCCTCCTCCTCTCCTCCTCCCCCGTCCTCCCCTCCTCCTCCTCCTCCTCCTCCTCCTCCTCCTCCTCCTCCTCCTCCTCCTCCTCCTCCTCCCTCCTCCTCCTCCTCCTCCCCTTACCCCTCCCCTCCCCCTCCCCCTCCCCCTCCTATCCTTATTCCTTATTAGAATATACTCCTACTCCCCCCTCAGGCCGGCAGATAGCGGGCGCATCCGGGTGGTCCCATCCGAACCTGTAAAAAACAATACAAAATCAACATTTCTCTTATTTTTTCCTCTCGACATGGACGTCCTGTCGTCCACGGCGATAATCCATTGCAAAAAATACCACAAAGAGCACACGCGCGCGTTCATGTCAGAATCCTACCGAACACGGTGTGTTTGCAAGCATTTCAACATAAAAACATCAAACACCCAATGCTTTTTCACAAAAAATTGTACAATTTTCCCGCCCGGGCTCTCTTGCTGAAATCATAGGAAAACCATAGGAATCTTAAGAATTCTGTCAAATCCAGCGATTTCACGTCATCGCGCGGTGCACTCGCGATGCTCTGTCATGCACCCAGGCCGCGAATCCTGTGCAAAAAATACAACAAAGAGCGCACTCGCGCGTTCATGTCAGAATCCTACCGAACACCGTGTGTTTGCAAGCATTTCAACATAAAAACATCAAAAACCCAATGCTTTTCACAAAAATGCTTTGGGGTGTCCTGTCAGACCGTCGGGCTTCCTCCGGCCACCTCTGGCGTCCTGCGGTGTACCGGGCCATTCTCGACTCGTCTGGCAATGCGTGCGCGGCATTCAACACGCGCTCGCCAGTTCCCGTCGGCAACCGCCATCGCGGCCGCATCAGCTGTACCAAACCGGCTGGCCGGTGTGACTTCGGCCCCCAGTTGTGCCAGCTTTGCTTCTTATGTTGTGGGCGGGCGGGTGGGACTGGGCATGCCATGCTTGACTCGCTCGAGCTGGCTAGCTTGACTCCTATCCTTATTCCTTATTAGAATATACTCCTACTCCCCCCTCAGGCCGGCCATTAGGGGCCGCATCCGGGGGGTCCCATCCGAACCTGTAAAAAACAATACAAAATCAACATTTTTCTTATTTTTTCCTCTCGACATGGACGTCCTGTCGTCCACGGCGATAATCCATTGCAAAAAATACCACAAAGAGCACACGCGCGCGTTCATGTCAGAATCCTACCGAACACCGTGTGTTTGCAAGCATTTCAACATAAAAACATCAAAAACCAAATGTTTTTTTTTTTACAAAAATTGTACAAATTTCCCGCCCCCGGGCTCTCTTGCTGAAAATCATTAGTGAAAACCATTTATGAAGCTTAAAGAATCTGTCAAATCCATCTTATTTGCACGTCATCGCGCGGTGCAACAGGCCGCGAATCCTGTGCAAAAAATACCACAAAGAGCACACTCTCGCGTTCATGTCAGAATCCTACCGAACACCGTGTGTTTGCAAGCATTTCAACATAAAAACATCAAAAACCCACTGCTTTTTCACAAAAATGCTTTGGGGTGTCCTGTCAGACCGTCGGGCTTCCTCCGGCCACCTCTGGCTTCCTGCGGTGTACCGGGCCATTCTCGACTCGTCTGGCAATGCGTGCGCGGCATTCAACACGCGCTCGCCAGTTCCCGTCGGCAACCGCCATCGCGGCCGCATCAGCTATACCAAACCGGCTGGCCGGTGTGACTTCGGCCCCCAGTTGTGCCAGCTTTGCTTCTTATGTTGTGGGAGGGCGGGTGGGACTGGGCATGCCATGCTTGACTCGCTCGAGCTGGCTAGCTTGACTCCTACTCCTACTCCTATCCTTATTCCTTATTAGAATATACTCCTACTCCCCCTCAGGCCGGCCATTAGGGGCCGCATCCGGGTGGTCCCATCCTAACCTGTAAAAAACAATACAAAATCAACATTTTTCTTATTTTTTCCTCTCGACATGGACGTCCTGTCGTCCACGGCGATAATCCATTGCAAAAAATACCACAAAGAGCACACGCGCGCGTTCATGTCAGAATCCTACCGAACACCATGTTTCTGCAAGCATTTCAACATAAAAACATCAAACACCCAATGTTTTTTTCACAAAAAATTGTACAAATTTCCCGCCTGGGCTCTCTTGCTGAAATCATAGGAAAACCATAGGAATCTTAAGAATTCGGTCAAATCCAGCGATTTCACGTCATCGCGCGGTGCACTCGCGATGCTCTATCATGCACCCAGGCCGCGCATCCTGTGCAAAAAATATTACAAAGAGCACACTCGCGCGTTCATGTCAGAATCCTACCGAATACAGTGTTTTTGCAAGCATTTCAACATAAAAACATCAAAAACCAAATGCTTTTTCACAAAAATGCTTTGGGGTGTCCTGTCAGACCCGTCGGTCTCCTCCGGCCACGCTCTGGCTTCCTGCTTGTACCGGGCATTCTCGACGTCGTCCCTGGCAATGCGTGCGCGGCATTCAACACGCGCTCGCCAGTTCCCGTCGGCAACCGCCATCGGCGGCCCGCATCAGCTGTACCAAACAACCGGCTGCCGGTTGATTTCGAGCCCCCAGTTGTGCCTGCTTTGGCTTCTTATGTTGTGGGAGGGGCGGGTGGGACTGGCATGCCATGCTTGACCTCGCTCAGGCTGTCATAGCTTGACATCCTAACTCCTACTCCTACTCCTCCTCCTACCTCCTCCTCCTTCCTCCTCCTCCTCCTCCTCCCTCATCCTCCTCCTCCTCCTCTGCCTGCTGCGCTCCTCCTCCTCCTCCTCCTCCTCACTCCTCCTCCTCCTCCTCCTCCTCCCCCTGCCCCCTCCCCTTCCGCCTCCTACTCCTACTCCTACTCCTAACTTCCTACTCCTATCCTTATTCCTTATTAGAATATACTCCTACTCCCCCCTCAGGCCGGCCATTAGGGGCCGCATCCGGGGGGTCCCATCCTAACCTGTAAAAAAACAATACAAAATCAACATTTTTCTTATTGTTTCCTCTCGACATGGACGTCTTGTCGTCCACGGCGATAATCCATTGCAAAAAATACAACAAAGAGCACACGCGCGCGTTCATGTCATAATCCTACCGAACACAGTGTGTTTGCAATCATTTCAACATAAAAACATCAAAAACCCAATGCTTTTTCACAAAAATTGTACAAATTTCCCGCCCGGGCTCTCTTGTTGAAAGCATAGGAAAACCATAGGAATCTGATGAATTCGGTCAAATCCAGCGATTTCGCGTCATCGCGCGGTGCACTCGCGATGCTCTGTCATGCACCCAGGCCGCGAATCCTGTGCAAAAAATATTACAAAGAGCACACTCGCGCGTTCATGCCAGAATCCTACCGAACGCCGTGTGTTTGCAAGCATTTCAACATAAAAACATCAAAAACCCAATGCTTTTTCACAAAAATGCTTTGGGGTGTCCTGTCAGACCGTCGGGCTTCCTCCGGCCACCTCTGGCTTCCTGCGGTGTACCGGGCCATTCTCGACTCGTCTGGCAATGCGTGCGCGGCATTCAACACGCGCTCGCCAGTTCCCGTCGGCAACCGCCATCGCGGCCGCATCAGCTGTACCAAACCGGCTGGCCGGTGTGACTTCGGCCCCCAGTTGTGCCAGCTTTGCTTCTTATGTTGTGGGAGGGCGGGTGGGACTGGGCATGCCATGCTTGACTCGCTCGAGCTGGCTAGCTTGACTCCTACTCCTACTCCTACTCCTATCCTTATTCCTTATTAGAATATACTCCTACTCCCCCCTCAGGCCGGCCGATAGGGGCCGCATCCGGGGGGTCCCATCCTAACCTGTAAAAAACAATACAAAATCAATATTTTTCTTAGTTTTTTCCTCTCGACGTGGACGTCCTGTCGTCCACGGCGATAATCCATTGCAAAAAATACCACAAAGAGCACACGCGCGCGTTCATGTCAGAATCCTACCGAACACCGTGTGTTTGCAAGCATTTCAACATAAAAACATCAAAAACCAAATGTTTTTTTCACAAAAAATTGGGCAAATTTCCCGCCCGGGCTCTCTTGCTGAAATCATAGGAAAACCATAGGAATCTTAAGAATTCGGTCAAATCCAGCGATTTCACGTCATCGCGCGGTGCACTCGCGATGCTCTATCATGCACCCAGGCCGCGAATCCTGTGCAAAAAATATTACAAAGAGCACACTCGCG